TCATAATCAAACCCAGGTCACCTCCCATGATTGCCCAAGCTATGATCAGCTGGTTAATGCTGTTGACTGTCCTGTCATCACATGACAGGCTGGTGACCCCCAAGTTAGAGCACAAACAGTGCTCTATTTGATTCTGGGAACAGTAATTTCTCTGAGCAGCCAAAACAGGTACTGACATAGGAATCCCACAGCTTCTGAGGACCATAAACACAGTTGCTTTGATAACAAAAGATTCAGTAACAATTGAAGGGTATCTCAATGGTCTGCAAATCGCTACATACCTATCTATGGCCATGCAGACAAAGATACCTGACTCCATGGCAATAAAGCAATGAATAGCATATATCTGAACAAAACACTCCGGGAGGCTGATAGTCTTAGCATTGAACCATAAGATGGCTAAAATCTTAGGCATGATGGTTGTTGCCAAGCCAATGTCTACTATAGCCAGGATGCCCAGGAAATGATACATAGGCTGGTGTAGTGACACTTCCTGGTAGATTGTGGTAATGATAAGTATGTTGGCTATGAGAGCCAAGGCATAGAGCAGAGCCAGGGGAAAGGAGAGCCAGTGCTGCCAGCTGTGGATGCCTGGAAATCCCATCAGAATAAACTCAGACACTTGGAACCTAGAACTGTTGAAATTGGTCATATCCTGGAACATATCTTGCTAGGAGGAATAAATGTTAATATTGTTAGTTTAGATTAGCAATGTGACAGCAGAAAGGAGTTTAATACAGACCATTATTTTAGGAGGATCTGGTATCTTCGTGATTCTCATCCTTCACTTTTATTAATCAAACACCTGGTTTAGTCAGATATGTGATGAAATAAGATCATCTCTGGTAGATGGAATATTCACCATGTTAACTCAACAAATCATCCTTCAAATCCACAATAAAGACTGTGCTTATGCTACCTCAATATAGACGCATGGACTATTACAGGCAATCAACATCTTACTCACCATCCTACTTGTAGAGACCATTCAAGCAATAAAGATAACAGGAATGTGATATCACATCCTGAATTTTCAGTCTGGTTTTGCTAATGTGCTAGTTGCTTCCTTAAGCTAATGTGTTCAGCATGAATGTCTTTGATGCATGGATATTTCTTGCAAATGAAATTACATAATGACATATGTATGCATGTTTTATTCATAATTCATACAGTTAATTTAGAATTCATTGAGATTATGTGTAGTTTTAAATTTAATTCATTAAATCTTGCTGAAACAATGAATTGGGCCTATTTATACTAAGAGAACTGATTCAAGGAAACATTAATGTCCTCTCTAAAGCTAGACATACAATTAAAAGGTAGTATAATTTAAAGGCCTGTGATGTCTAAGTTCTGTTGATTATGTTCATAAGTAGCTTACTTTGTCTGTGCCAATTATTTTGGTTCTTGGAACAGTTCTTGAAAACACTATAATTCTTTGAACACAATTGAAAAGTATGTACATAAAAACATCTTTGCTTCAGAACATTATATATATATATATATGTGTGTGTGTGTGTGTGTGTGTGTGTGTGTGTGTGTGTGTGTGTTAGAAATGTGGGGTGTAACTGTAGAAGTCCTGTTGTAACATAATCCTATTGGGAATTTCCTACTAAGTCAACTCTCCATCCTTCAGGAAAGTTCATCTTCATTCTTGTCACATAAAATGGCAATGTGCCTGGAACATTTTTTAAAATTCCTCCTTAGACTAAACTCCAGAAATGACAGGAGGCTAGTTAACATTGTGTGGGGTGTTGGGAAAATCTGATATATCAAATTTCTCCCTGTTGAGTTTTCCTACCTCTTCCCCATTTTTCTACTGGAGTGTCAATACACTGTTCAAGGTAACTTTGCAAGAAGAAAAGTAATACAAGACAAGCATGTTTGTAAGGGTAGTCTCTGAGCCCTCTTCCTGAGTCATGATAAAAACCTTAGAACAATACAGGATAAGGAAGAAATGTCAAATTCACCAAACTCTGGAGATGATGACTATTACTTCCACAGAGGAAAAGACAAATGACTTTACTGGTCTTTGCTATCTCAACATTCTCTCAGTCGCTGATTTCTTGCTTGTTATTTTAAAGTTTATGTTCCAATATAACTCTATGTTCTCTTAGATGCCCTAACCCCTACCAACTCATCAAATCTGACTACAGATTCACCTTGCTCAGCAACACCCATCTATTTTCTTTGAAAAGATAGATAACTACCCTCAAAGGTTGTTAGAAATGGAATTAGAAAAATGACAAGCTTGACCTAAGAATATATTTATTATGGGAATCCTTCTGCTTTGGCATTTTAATACTACAGGATTATGAAAATCTGTTATTGTACTAAAACACCCATGAAATACTTTAAATGCACATATTAAATCATATTTATATTTTCAGAATAGAACAATGCATTACAGACCTACTGAGGTCAAAAAATGTTTGTAAATGAGTGGGTAATGAACTGAGAAGTCAAGAAAGGGAAGGAATATAATAAAAATTTACAGGCTATTGAATTGTTTATATGTCATTTCATTGAAAACATGAAGATCTCTATCAGCAACAGACATAAACAAATTTAGACCACACCTCATAAATAATAATAAATAAAATTTTCAGTAAAATTTCTGTTCTAAAATGAAGAAATTGTAAGGAAACCCTATGGTAGTAGAAAAAGAAAACACCAAGAAAAACAAATATTTTGTTTCGTGCAATCCCATCAATTCTGGTGAGAGACTGACTGATGAGGTGATTCAGCAAACAAAGGCACTTGCCCAGAAAGTAGCCCAAAAACCTGAGTTTGATCCTGGTCTGCACAGCAAGTTCTGGTCCAGCCAGGACCACAAAGTGAGAACCTGATATACACCAAACAAAATAATAAAATAAAAATACAAAATATTTAAAAAGAAAAATAAGAACATATATATTGACACACAGACATTCACCTGTACAAACACATGCACATTATAACTGCTGTGTAATTAAGACACACTTTAAGATTTATGTGAGTAGTTAAAATATTTACTATAATGTAACATGCATAAAGGAATGATTCATATTAAGAAATAAGTGTATTATCAAAGTGAATACATTTTGTAGCCAAGAAATACAACCAACATTGTATGTTACCTGTCTAACATTTTTTTTTACTTTCTTTCCTTCACAATGTAGCAGAGGTACAATATTAACAGCTAACACTGTAAATCAATCTTACCTTTTGAAGCAAATTTTTAGTGTTGGAAATGTAAGAATCTACATAATAAAACAGTGTAATAGATGTGATTCTTTCCTATAAAACTGTCACAAGATGGCTCAAGGGTTTGGAGTGCTTGTTGTTCCTGCAGAGAACCCTGGGTTGGTTCCTAGCTCCCTTATAGTGGCTCATAACTATCCACAACTCCAGCTCCAGGGACCCCAGGCACACAATATGTAATATGTTTAAACATAAATATTGTCATTTATTTAAAAGGCGACTTTACAAGGATCTAATGCTTATCCTTATGCCAAACCCCACAGATAATCAGTTTGTGTCCTTCCTTGCCTGCCCTGAAACTTAAAAAACATCTTTTTCTCTCAAGACAGTAGTGGGTTCTTTTCGTCTACTTGGACATCTAAATTATTATTTTAAATATGATAATTACTTCCCTCTGGACCCAAGACAAGTTAACTCATTCTTTTTATGAAAATGGGTGAGAGCAAGTGAGAAGCAACAGTACTCTGAAAATATAGGGAATACATCTTCAGCTACTTCTCCTGGTCCTGTGGTAATGTAACAAGACTGGTACTATTTTTCATAACTCCATTTTGTCAGGGAAGACATCAATATTCACATTCCCTATGAAAGGCTACACTGAATTACCATCTTAGAAATTAAGAAATACACATTGCACAAGAAAAGACAATTTAATGTCCTTTTGCTGAATGGTTGAAATCAAATCTATAGTTTGAGAATGAATGCTCCAGTCCATTGTATATGCTCAAAGACACTGTAAACTTGAAAAAAACCCCAGTGTATCTACTCCCAACAACATAAACATGTTGGCACTACCTCCCCTTCCTCCTTACCCTGTGTAATGCCTACTTTCTGGATATCAAGCAGTGAGCTGAGTTGCAGACTGGTCCAAGAAGAGAGTCTTGATCAAAAACTATGGGATACTGCTATTTGTGTGTGTGTGTGTGTGTGTGTGTGTGTGTGTGTGTGTGTGTGTGCATCCCTTAACTACTCTGTCCCTTGATACCTTGATAGCAGCACATTTGAACTGATTTTGCCTTAAAGGGAAAACCCAATGTTATACTTTGGAACTTTAGAGTTGAAATACCTTTATGAGGATCAACACGCCTGCATAGGGGTAAGAGTGGGGGCTTGGGGGGGTTGAATTCTTACCACCTCAAGGATGCTCATAAACTGAATGTTTTCACATTCACCTATAAACCAATATACATGGCATGTGGGGGTGACTGTGTATGCACACAGGAAAGGCAAAGTGTTTGGATTAAAAGCCATAGTTAATGTCATTTCACAGCTGATACTTCTGCCAAGATGACACAGTTTTATTAATTTACATAAAAATGTTTCAGACTCACATACAAGTACCTTTTTCTTTATTCATAAATGGTTTTACATGTCCATTTTAATGAATTATATTACTCACTGAGTGATTAGTAATGTCCAAGCCAGGGTTCATGACTTTAAGAAAATATTTAACGACATGACTAGTGATTTATCAAGAAATTTATTTTCATTGAATGTGATGATCCATGCCTTTAATTCCAGTACCCAGAAAGTGGAGGTAAATGGAGCTCTCAGAGTTTGTGGCCATCATGGTCTACAAATCAAGTTCTAGTTCAGCCAGGACAAAAAAAAATGAGGACCTGGTTCCAAAAGAATTATTTTAAATGATATATATCATACAGATTTTCAGGGATACTGAATATTATACTCTTAAGATTGATTACTACAATCAGACATCCTAGTTTTGACACAGTAAATGTGATGTGTGTTTCTCATTTTTAGCCTCCTTTGATGTCAATCTTAAGCACCTTGTATAAGCCTTGTTTCAGCTCTTTGTTCTTAAGTGCATATACCATGGGGTTCAGAGCAGGGGGAATTACATTGTGCAACACATTCAGCAGAACTGAGATAACAGGAACAGACAAATTTGCACTATGAGTGATGGACATGACAATGATTACTGTGTAGAAGAAAAGGATTAGGATTAGGTGAGACGTGCATGTACTTAAGGCCTTAGATGTAGCTTCTGCAGAGTTCAGCTTCAGGACAGACTGAAGAATCAAAGTATATGAAATCATAATCAAACCCAGGTCACCTCCCATGATTGCCCAAGCCAGAACTAGCTGGTTGATGCTGTTGACTTTCCTGTCATTCACAAGACAAGTTAGTTACCACCAGGTTAGTACAAAAACAGTGGTTAATTTGATTCCGGAAACAGTAATTTCTCTGAGCAGCCAGCACAGGAACTGACATGGGAGCTACACAATTTCTGAGAGCCATAAGCATAGTTGCTTTGACCACAAAAGATTCAGTAACTATTGAAGGGTATCTCAGTGGTCTGCAAATCACTATATATCTATCAATAGCCATGCATACCAAGATACCTGACTCCATAGTGACAAAAAAGTGGATGGCGTACATCCGAGCAAAACATTCATTGAAACTGATGGTCTTAGCATTGAACCATAAAATGGCTAAAATCTTAGTCTTGATTTTAGTTGCTAGGCCCATGTCAAAAATAGCCAGGATGCCCAGGAAATGGTACATAGACTGGTGTAATGATGCCTCTTGGTAAATGACAGCCACAATAAATGTGTTGGCAATAAGAGCCAAGACATAGAACAGAGCCAGGGGAAAGGAGAGCCAGTGCTGCCAGCTGTGGATGCCTGGAAATCCCATCAGAATGAACTCAGACAGTTGGAAACTAGAGCTGTTGGAATCTCTGAAGATCTGGAACATGTCTTGCTAATAATAAAACATGCCTTTGTACTTTTCCTGGATATCTGTGTGGCAGTGTTGGATGCAGACTTACACAGGGTATGAAACTGAGGGATGATTTTGTGTCTTCATCTTTCCATTCGGTTGATATTGACACTTATTAAACATATGATGCAAGAACTCTCATAGGTGGCAGATTATATTTTTAATTCATCAAAAAACCAAAAATTCTATGGACTGTGTTTTCCCTCTATTTCCTAATTGAGAAAGAGAAAATTAGAGGAAATCAGAATTTTATTTATGATCTTTCATGTAATAGGTCATTGACTGTGCATGGTGGATATAACCAGATATCACAGTGTGATGGCTGTATTTAAGTTGTCTAATGGTTTCTTTGGAGACCTAAAATACAGACCCCAAGAGAGACTTTAATGTACAATTTTTTCTTTGCTACAATCTTAGGCTACATTGTATTTTAGAACAGAAATCTTTGTACTTATATGTATGAGAAACTTTTATTAATAGTGTGTATATATGGGCTTATGAAAAATCAAATACATATTTATCTCATAATGAGAAATAAGCTATAGTCTGGGGTGGGGATATAATAGTTAAATTGCATTTAATTTTGTTTTGGGTTTACCATGAGTCAAATTTAAGGCCTCTTACATGATGGATAATCAACCCTTGGTTAATATCCAATTCAGTTTATCATTAAAGTATTTATTGCTATGTGATGTCCACTCACAAGTTACCATGCATCCTTTTTTTGTGTGAAACTAGATGCATTTTAACAAAGGAATACACTGTGTGAGCAAGAAGTACACCAGTTTCTACACTCAATAGTTTTCTCTTTCCTCCTTGCTAAAGGAAGCCAAAATCTTAAATGCTAATATTATAATCAACCTTGACTTTTCATATGAAGACCTTTAAAAGATCTATGACATAAATTAAACAGAATATATACTTATTTTTTTTAGCTTGAAAACAGGCAGATTATTTTTAAGGCCATTACTTATCTCCTCTCCCCCATAATAACATTTTTGTTTTGAGACAGGGTCTTAAAATTTAGACTGACTATTCTAGACCTCACTGGGTAGACCAGGTAAGCCTTGAACTCACAGAGACCCATCTGCCTCTGCTTCCTGAGTGCTGGAATTAAGGACATGTGCTACCACACCCAGGAACAGTCAACTGTCAATGCATGTGTTCATGCATCAGAAGCAAGTAGGATGACCAGGGAATCCATGAATATGTATCAATTGAGAAAATGAGCTATATCTCCAAGATGGGTTGTTCTGTATCCTTAAGTTTATTTCCCACATGTGAGACAAATGCCATTTATATTCCCCATATCTTCCTTATTGGTATAACTCTAATGACTATTATTGGTTTATTTGCTGCATATTCTATATATTTTCAAATATCTCAGGTAAAGATTCAATCTAATAATGACTGACACAGTCATATCCACTGGAAACAGTGAGAGCCATGAAGCCAGTACAGCTGTTTGGCACAGTTCCAGTACAGCTGAGCCTAATGGTACCATCTCTGTTGTGCTGTCTTCCACTTTTGGTTTTGGTCTCTGTGTGTTGCATGTTTGTGGTTTTCTACATTATAATTCATTTAATGTATTTGCCAAAAAATTATATCTGAATCTCTGTAGGAAGTGCTAAACTTATCATCCCTCCTGCTTTTAGGGAGATAATTTTATCTGGCCCTATTCCAAAATCCTCATTATGTCCTGGACATTATGATAAACACAAAGATGCTAAAAACACCTGCCCTGAAGCAAACTCAAACAGGGTCATTAAATAATGTAAACTTAAAAGAGACTGGCAAACTCCAACTGACCAGAAAATATGGCAACAGATCAGAGACTTACCCTTAAGTTAAGCTCAGAATTTGTTGAATAAGTAATATACTAAACAGGGGATTATGCAGGGTGTGTCCTTACAAAAATAGAAATTCAATGACAGGCTGATTTATGAGTAGCACTTTTGTATACTAAGGATTGATAGTACACTATTAAAAGCATTAAAATTCACTTGAACTGGCTCAGATATTTTCTATTCACCTAGATCTTTGAAACCACAAGTGCTGCCAGCATGGAAACAGGTTGTAAATATTAAGAATGGTTGCTTTAGCAAAATAGTCTGTAGGTTCTTTGAAATAGTATTATGGAACTATGATAAAAGAAAAACCTATTTATCTGTACTTATTAATTGTAACTGAACCTATGACCCTAGATATGTTATAAAAAAAATCAAACATATGTATGGAGACAAAATGATATAATCTTTAGCTTTTAAAAATTGTGAGTCTGTCTTTGTCTTATGAGTTTGTATAAATAAAAAAGCAACCCGATTTTTGATCAGTCAGAGCTGCAAGATTGTCTTGACCATCATGCCTGGCTCTCCTCGTCCCTCAACAACTCCCTACCTCCTCTTGGGGTCCTGTCAACCACTATAGTTGGCACCTGGCAAATGACCACCATAATAGTTAGTATAAATTAAATTATATTTCCCAATACCACACAAAATGCTTTCAATATTACACATCAAAACCAACTTCTATTATTCTAGAAGTTCATATAGATTATAACTTGTAATATGAGTATCTCAATCAAAACAACATTAAATGGGTCTGATGTCCATCTTGCTTTCCAACCCTGATGATAATACATGTGTGTCTTCATTGGATCATCCTCAATCTTTGCAGCCCATGTTCTTCCCTCAACATGGCAATGGATCCCGCTTTGCTATCAAAGATGGATGAAACACAGATGTACCTAAGTATCTCTCAAAAGAAGCAAGATGAGTTAAATCTTTACTTCTGAAAAACAAGCAGAATACAGCTGACAAGCAAATGTTCAGACCATAAAAAGCATGTCTTCTGTAGCTACTTACCTGGCCATGACTGATTCACATCTGACTCTCACTATTTCCAATGATGCCTATTTGTTTATGGAAAATCATGATTTTCATCACCATCATGATCCTCATCATGGAAACCTATACAGAAATGAAATCTGAACAGTGTAGGGAATAGCTTCTCCAAGGAAAGAGCAATGATCTAGGTGAGTGGGATCCAACCTGCCTTTCTGAGAACAGACAATAAATTGGAACTAAAAGCACCTGAGCTCTTCAACAAAGCAATGAATCTACTAACATTCAGAAACATGCCCTGTGCCTAGCCAGCATGTCACATGTCCTTCCATACTTAGTTTCTAGATGGCAAAAAAGGGAGCTGAAATTAATCTGGTCCAGGTGTTCACAGTAGTGATCTAAAAACGTCAGAATCCTATTATACATACTGTAGTTTTATATATATATATATATATATATATATCCCTTCTTAAATCCCTTGATATCTGAAATACTGAACTGAACCCTTAAAGGAAGATTGTGTTCCGCGTCCCAGGGGACATAATGGAGCCTAAGAGGCAAAAATGCTGTTTTAAAAACAAGATAACCCTGTGAGAGGAGAGGTAGATAGAGATTTCCACCCTACTGATTCCTGAAGGTACACAAGTAAAGGATTCCATTTGTATTATACACATGTCTGTTTGTGAGTATCCACCCAGTGCAGGTAATGAGAACAAATATGCTGTTTTGAATGACATTCATGATATTTATGTAATTTCAGCATTCCATTGAAGGTTTGTGAGTTACAAATTAAAATAGTAAATATTTGAATTATTCACATACAAAGACTCAGCTTTTAATTCACCATGTATCATGTCTATTGAAATAATGTGGATCACTGAGAACTCTACAAGTAAGACTAAAAACTTGAAAAAAAACAGCATTAGATAACATTGGTCCTGATTTTCATAAAGTTTATTTTCAAAGTAATTAACAATAAACATTTTTACATTGAGAAATTCAACCAAAGTTTAATAAATTAGATATGCTAGATATAACTGGATATGCAGTGTTTGAGACAGAGACAGCAATAGTGATCACAGCAAAACTAAAGAACAGCAAATAGGCTTCCTGAGGACTGGGGACTGCCTGTGGGGGAGCCAACCCTGGTGGACCACCCCTTCCAGAGTCTGCCAGCACCCTAGTCCTGCCACCAACCACTGGAAGAGGAGAGCCATTAGAGTATTGGGCCTGCTTGCACCAGCAGAAGAGAACCTTGGTCCAATACCACCAGGAGAAGAAAGACCCCACTGGTTTGCACTGGAAGAAGGGATAGGTAGACAACAGTGTAAGAACACATTAAACAAGATTTTGTTGATCCCTCCTGGAAGGCATCACCCTCCCTGTGGAGTGGAGGGGGAAATGAGATGGGGATTAGGGGGGGATAGGAGGGAGGGAGGGAGAGGGAACTGGGATTGATATGTAAAATAAGAATTTTTTAAAGTCAGAATAATAAAAAAAAAGAACACAGTAAACAACAGAAAGATCAATATGATGCCACCAGAGTCTAGGAACTCCACACTAGCAAGATCTGAACACAGATAGAGCAGGAAAAAAACAACTCTAAAAATGACTTCGTGAAGATGATGAGACCCTAAAAGAGGAAACAAGAAAATCCTTTACAGAAATAAAAGGAAAGACAAACCAAAAATGGCAAGAAACAATTCAAACAGTGCAAGGTTTTAAAGCTGAAATAGAGACCAAAAAAGGAAAAAAAAAAAACCAAACAAACAAAAAACAAACAAAAAAAAGCCAAACACACAAGACAACACAGTCTTATGGAATGCGCAAAATAGAAAAGCTGGGTAAATGATAGGAACTACAGATGCAAGCATAACCAACCAAATACAAGAGATGAAAGAGACAATTTTAGATCCTGAAGATACACTAGGAGAAATAGATTCATTGACCAAAGAAAAATCTTAAATCCAACAAATCCCTAACAAAAAATATCCGGGAAATATGGGACACTGTGAAAAGGCCAAACCTAAGAATAATAGGTATAGAAAAAAAGTGAAGAAACCCAACTCAAAGGTGCAGAAAATATATTCAACAAAATCATAGAAGAAAACTTTCCAAACCTAAAGAAAGACA